CCAAATCACGCATTTTTATACGTTTTGAGTTATTTAATATTTTCCTGGGTGCTACCTTATGAGCATTTTCAAACTTGATTGAAGGAGCACGCGAAGGATGATGTCCTTATGTCATCCTGTTATTCATGGTGTTTATCGTTATGCATTTTAGTTATTTCTTAGCAACAAAATGGAAAATTTAAGGATGGAAGAAAACATTTTAAATTAAAACTGGTTTATTATTTCAGGCAGTAGCAATCGCAGGTCGGAAGCAACGAACCTCACGCACAGAAGAAGTAATGCTTTGAACCAATGTACACTCGTTCAATTCCTCGTTCCTGGGTGCTACCTTATGAGCATTTTCAAACTTGATTGAAGGAGCACGCAAAGGATGATGTCCTTATGTCATCCTGTTATTCATGGTGTTTATCGTTATGCATTTTAGTTATTTCTTAGCAACAAAATGGAAAATTTAAGGATGGAAGAAAACATTTTAAATTAAAACTGGTTTATTATTTCAGAGAAGCGTTAGAGAACATATACTACATCTACAGTACATATACATATACTACATCATATAGTACATCTTCTTTAGAACTGTATATTTACCAGCGATTTAGCGACTGTTGAGATTAAGATAATTTTTTTTTGTATGGGGGCTATAGGAAATTAAGCATAGATTGTTATAATTTTGAACATAAGTAAAAAAAATAACGTGTGACAAAATTCATCGAATTATCTTCGATTGTTTCTGAGAAAACTTCAATGCCAAACTACTTAGGACAATGGTGAATATTGTCAGTGAATTTGGCTGACTTCTTTTGCTTAGTTTTGTAAAGTGCTGGCATTTTGCAAATCAATTTTTGTATGAGTAACATTTTCCCATTTAAATTTTTGAACATTATGAATTGAATAGAATAATAAACATATTGTAAAAATCTATTTTCTCTTTGAATGAATCTTCTACAACTCGAAAGTTTCTCATTGTTTTAATTCACTAATTTAATTGACATATTCTTATAAACATAGCCTGTTTATATAAGTATGTATACACTTTATTTGATAAATATTTTAAATTAGATTTTTCTTAAAACCTGATGTAAAAAAAAAAAAAAATTAAATTAATTGTTAAAAATTTGCATATAAATGCCTACATACATATATGTTCTATTAATATTTGGATTTATATTCCTTAAATAATATATGTAAATACACAAAACATTAGTTTTGTTAATTCATCATAATATGAATTTGTTTAATTGTATCTTTTAAAATTGTTTATACGAACAAATTCAAAAATAACGTCTTTATTTATCAATATTTTTCTTTATTTTGTCCCACTGTACAAATTCACCACCAGCTACAAAATACATTCCTGGTATCATATGGTTTTACTAGTTACTTTCTATTTTACTTGTAGCTCGCGCCAATTTTTATTAAGCTATTTAGTTAATACTTTTTCTGATATTATATATATTGAAGATTCTTAAACCACGTTTCATTTTTACAAAATTTTTGGAGAATACAGTCAAAAAATAAATAAATTTTTACAATCCGAAAATATTCGAAAGAAAAAGTGTGGTTAACTTTTTGAAAATTGCATAATTGGTTAAATTGGAAAAACTCATAAAATTTCAAATAAAAATTAATTTAATTTATTTATTCTCGAAAATTAAGGTTATAATCAATAAACCTGCAATAATTAAAATAAATAATAAAATATTGGTGCTATATCTCTTTAGGTAAGATATGAAAAATTTTGCTTTTAATTTTCCTAAATTGTTCTAAGAAACAAACAAAATTAATGTGCCCTTTTCAGATTTGGCACCAATTACTGGATTTCCATTTTACCAAATTATCTTATCATAAGATCCTAAAGTTGATGAAATATTCATCCTATCTATACAACAACTGAATACTTTGCCTTGAGTAGGAAAAACTCGTTATTTGAAGAACATCCTTCGGGAAACTGATGGTATTATTTCACAGGAGTAAAATTTCCACAAATTTGTACAAGAGACATTCGGCATCAAAACAAAACAAATATCTACTGATCATCCTTACTGACATCAACCTAAAATCTTCGACAATCATATAATCCATGGAGAACACTCCCATCCTCAAAATCAATCCTATTTAATGCATTAAGTATCGTATTTTCTATTTATTTTGAATTTATGCCAATGGTGAAATAGTTTTAAATATTTCCCATTATTTTATTTTATTTTGTTCAGAATTATCAAAAATTTCGCAGTGGTTAAAATATAAGAAATGTTGCTGATAGAGTTAATTTAAAATAAGGAAGAAGAAGAATAAAAAAAAAAGATCAATCATCTATCACATCGAAATATACTTTATAATTTTGTCTCCCTTCATCACACATATGTAGCATTGCTGAATGGCCATTCATCGATGGACTGAACTGTGACAAATGTAAGTTGAAAAATCTCACATTATTATGTTTTGACAATTAGTTTTTTTTACTACTTCGCAAGTGAAACATTAATTAAAGAAATAAGAAAATGCTTATTTTTAGAAAAATTTTAAATTAAAATATTTTTTGAAAATGTCATATAAAAAGTAGTACAAAAATCTATTTTAAAGTGAAAAAATATATATAAAAATTATAAAGTTTAAGATGTGAAAAATTTAAAATATTTAAGAGGAAGAAAATAAGAAAAGAGAATACAACAGTTAAAAGAATAGAAAAATTAAAATAAATAGAAATTTTGCACAAATAGGAAAAAAATTTACAGATTCAAGTAAAATTTTAGTAAAATATAAAATTTCAGTGAATATTAAACGGAAATCTAAATATGTATAAAATCAAACAAAAAAAAAAAAATATATAAGATTTTTTTTGATAAAAGTTAATTCCAGTTTAAATCGAATGAAAACAAAAGCAACATTAATAAAAAAATATAGTTTCGTTAAAATTTGTATTTCTGAGAAAAAGAATTAATAACTTAACCCACAAAATCCAAAGGTAAATTTATAATATTTTAATAATTCTGAATTTTAGTTAAATTTAGTTATTTACTCTAAATTAAAAAAAATTACCCCTTTTAATATTTTTCGTCCTACACCTCTGTCCGTCTGCAATTTTTTTCATATTCTTTTCTCTTCATATTCGTAAAAACTGACCTATCTTAATTTGAATTTTGTTTTATTTGCATATTCGCAAATTTTAATAATTATACAGGGTGCATAGTCCAACATTGCCTTGAATAATTTGTTACCATTTATTTTTAAGCATTTTTTTTGTTACAATTTCATTGTTAAAATTTATATTGTTGCAAAATTAGAAACTTATTTAGATATTAAAATTAATCATTATTATATATACCCTAAATTTATTATGTTAAAAATGTTTTGGATTGAAAATTTTTATAAAATTGTTTTAACACATGCTGCAGGCTGAGATTTTGAATTAAAAAAAAAAAAATTATTCTAATATTAATATATATTATTAAAACTTTTGTTAATAAAAATTGAAATGACGAAGCTATAAATATCTAATGTTTTGATTCTAATGGCAAGGTAGAGCTAGGTAGCGTTTGAAATTCTTAAGGGATCATCTAATAACAACTAAATAGGTATGAATTCCATAGGTGATCATGGATGGGAGGGCTTTAGTTGCAAGCTTAACACCTCAGTTGCAACATGATATTTAATGCAATGAATCCGTGATTTCAATTGTCAGTATTTTTTTTTATGTTTGCTTCTTTTTCTCATATACTTTTGGTCCTTAGAAATAGTTATTCTTTCATTTTCCTACTATTAGCATGCAACTAAATTATGTTACTATGTGGCCTTTAATACAACTTGCGTTAAGTAGATTTACCCCACCCCATTATCCGACGAGCCAGAGCCGGAAGAATATATGCATGCTTAACTTAACCACACCCCATAGAAAAAGGTTTCACTTTTTGGTAATATGCTACATAGATAATATAATTTTTGGCGCCCAACGTGGGGGCCACTCTGAGTAAACGATTCGAATAATAACATCTTATAGTATAACAGTGGGTCTCAACTTTTTAAATCTGGTACTTATAGCCCAAAAAAATCTCATAAACGTTTCCTTAATTTTCATGTTTGTTTTTATCTTCGAAATCATTTAATACAAACAATGTTTGATTAATGACCAAGGTATATAAGTTTTTTTATTTGTTACCCTCTATTTTGTTTAATCCATTGATTGGAAACTTAAGGCTGGACTAGTTTGGCCTTATGCCATCGAAGGAAATATTCTATTTCTATTACTTTTTCTACTACTAACATTTTCTTTGCATTGTCGATCTGAATTGGAATCCGGACTTTGTTTTTTTTAAAGCGAAGTAAAGCCATCAGATCAATTGTCTTTTTGTTTCTGTCGCTGGCTGCGACTTGAGCCTTATGTTGAGGACAGCGAGTTTAACAAACACCCAAAAAGAACCACAAATTTGTTTAAAATTATGATGCAAGGGTGTAAACGTTTATTTCTAATAAAAAATTTAAATTATTACAAAAATAATATTTATATAAATATGAACCACTTACCGCAGTCTTTGTCCCCAACAAACTAAACTTTAATATTAAAGCCAGTAAATACTGAGCCTACAAATTTCTTTCTGTTATGTATATTTACTAACTGTTACATTCCAAACAAACAAAAAACTTAACGAAAATACTGCAGTAGAATTTAGGGACAAAGTGCGTTTAGTTCGTAAACAAATAAGAACAAAAGGGAATAAAAAGAACAATATAAAAAATCCTAACGGTCATATGAACAAAATAATAACAACAATGATCATACAATTATAAACAACATTAAGGTGGCTCAATAAATATAAATCAAATTAAAGAAATAAAAGAAATTTAAAGGGACAAATAAAGAAATTAAATAAAACAAATAAATCAAATAAAGAACAAATAAATAATTTAAACAAAACAAACTAAATTAAAATAAAACAATAAATATTAGCTCCTGCATGAGCCATTGGGCGACATCCCCACCCCCGTGGATCGGCTACGATTCACTATTCCAAATCAAGGATAGCCAGCTTGGAAACAGGGCGCATTAAACATCCAGTACTAGTGCGAATATTAGCACGACGAATAACACCATCTCTCCCTTTAAACACCTCTTGAACTTTACCACGCTTCCAATCTCTACGAGACACGACTGGATCACAAATTAGGACTAAATCACCAACAGCAATGGGCTTCGTACGTTGACACCACTTGGAACGTCTAGTCATCGTGGGTAAATATTCTCTTATCCACCGCTTCCAGAAGTGATCACGTAACTGACGGGAAATGCGCCACTGCTTTCTCAGGACCATTGGTTGAACATTTACTTCCCCCGCAGGAGTTTGCGATGTATTAGGGCAACCCAGCAAAAAATGATTCGGCGTTAGTGGTTCCTCATCTTCATGGCTCAAGGGCAAGTGCGTTAAGGGACGAGAATTCACAATATTTTCCGCTTCAATAAGGAAACTTTGAAACGTATGTTCCCGGGGGGCCGATTCTTTTAAAGTTGACTGCAAGACACGTTTGACGCACTGGACCATACGTTCCCATATACCACCTTCCGCAGGATTGTGGGGACAATTGAACTGCCAGTCTATACCCTTCGTAGAGCATTCATCTTGAATACGAGCCACATCAAATACTTCACTGAACCGCTTGGCTACTTGATCAGCACCAACAAAATTTTTTCCATTGTCGATCCTGAGTCTTGTAGGAAGGCCACGTCTATTTATAAAGTTGCGTATGGCAAGAATACACGCATCTGTGGACAAATCAAAGGCGACTTCTAAATGGATGGCTCTTATGGTCAGGCAAGTAAATAAAGCCACCCAGCGTTTTTCATGGCGACGACCAATTGTAATAGTAAGTGGGCCAAAGTAATCCAAACCAGTGTAGGAAAAGGGACGAATATATGGAGTCAACCTGTCCTTTGGCAAAGAACCCATAAGTGGTGGCACCGGCAATGTACGACGAAATCTGCAAATAAAACAATTAGAAACACGCTTATGCAAAATTTTTCTAAGGCGAGGAATCCAAAATGATCTTCTAATTTCACATATTGTGGATTCAAAATTTTGGTGTTTCATCTTTTCGTGTACATGGGCCACAAACAACTCGGTAACAGGATGGAACGACGGTAATATAATCGGACGCCTTATATCCAATGGTAACCAGCTAGCTGCGTCCACACGGCCATAAACACGAAGTAATGAATTTTCATCCATATACGGGCACAGGGCATACAAATCACTACTTTTGGGCAGACTACCTTGATTTTTAATAATTTCAATTTCTTCGCAAAAATGCTCCTGTTGTGCTTGACGGCAAAGAAATATCTCAGCATTTTTTGACTCAACTGCAGTTAAACCATTCTCCTCATCAGGACTAATCTTCTTTCGGCAGCGGTTTATAAAACGTAACATCCAAGCTACTGTACGTTTTAGTTTCAAATAGGACGAAAATCTTGTATAATTAATAACTCCTTGTATATTTACCAGTAGAGCAAATTTTGGACGAAGTTCTTCCGAATCTTGTTCGTTTGGGGCTACGTTTACTCTTTGGGGCCAATTATCTTCAGAATCATAAAGAAATTTAGGACCATTCAACCAGCGGGAATCATCAGAAAAATCAACTTGGCTTTTCATTCTTGTAGTTTCATCCGCAACATTTAGATTTGTTGGCAGCCATCTCCAATCTGCAGGGCTAGTAGATTCAAGAATTTCCGTAATTCTGTGGGCAACAAAAGGTTTGTAACGGCGACTTTCTGAGCCAATCCAATTTATTACAGTTGTAGAATCACTCCAACAAATAATCCTTGATACCTTAACGGAATGTTCCTTCAAAATTGTAACCATTAACCGAGTACCCAAAACAGCAGCCTGTAGTTCGAGCCGAGGAATACTCATAATCTTCAAAGGGGCACATCTAGATTTGGCAGCCACAAGAGACACTTCAATTTTATTATGGGCATTTATTGACCTCCAGTATGACACGGCTCCAAATGCGTCTTCACTGGCGTCGACAAAACATGTAGTTCCAGGCGGTAAGGAACACCATTTCCAAAATAACACCGAGGTACTTTGACCTTTTCAACATTGTGAAGACCTTGGCGCCAATTATTCCACACATCAACAATTTCACCGGGCAGTGCGTCATCCCAACCAATGCTATGTCTCCAAACTTCTCGCATCAACAACTTTGCGGTTATCATATAGTGGCTCAAAAACCCAAGTGGGTCGAAAACGCACATAACCACACTCAACAGCTCTCTTTTAGTTGGAGACCTTACACCTTTCATAACACTAGCATTCACATTGTGGAACTTTAAATTGAACCTGAAAGTATCATCTTTTGGTTGCCAATACATACCAAGTACCTTTTCCGTTTTTAGCTCATTAAAATCGCTGGAAAAATTCACCGGTTTCTCCACAGTACCTTTAAGAGCCACAATTACCTCCGAAGAGTTAGATGAAAAGTTACGTAGTTCAAACCCAGCTGCTTTATGGATGTTGCGTACTTGTTGCGAAATTTCAATGGCCCTTGCAGAGCTAGGAAAACTATCCACAAAGTCATCCACATAATGATGATCCAATATAGACTTCACTGCACGAGGATATTGATCACGATAACACAGAGCATTTGTTTCTTTAACATAATGAGCCACACAAGGCGAACAAGCAGCACCAAAAGTCATAACAATCATTTCATAGCAATCGGGTGGTTCTCTATTATCTTCACGCCAAAGGAACCTTTGGGAACATCTATCTTCAGGAGCCACAAGTACCTGGTGAAACATTTCTTTTATGTCCCCGCACACTGCTACAGCACCAACACGAAAATTGAACAAAACAGATGGCAACGGCTTATATTGCTGGGGGCCTTTAAGCAGGTTTGAATTGAGAGAAACACCTTCAACTGATGCGGCAGCATCAAACACCAACCGAATTTTTCCTTGCTTATTTGGGTTGACCACTCCAAAATGCGGAAGATACCAAGTTCTGGGGCATACATCAGCAGCTTCTATGGGCGACAGTTTACGTACATAATTCTTCGACAAATAATCCTTCATTATGGTTTTATAGGCGACACCAAAATCAGGGCATCTTTTCATTTTTCGTTCAATGCCAACGAGCCTATTAAGAGCCATATGGTAACTGTCTGGAAGCACAACATCATCAGTACGCCACAAGAGCCGAGTTTGGAATCGTCCATCAATTTTTATTGTTGTTTCTTTCATAATTTGCCGAGCCCGTAAGTCGTCCTTCGATTCTATGACTGGCAATATCTTCACGCCAAAATTCTCCGTTTCGAAATAATTTGCCACCAAGTCATAGAGTCTTTGCTCAGGCTGAACCGACAACAAACACAAATGGGAATTGGACGACTTACCCCTCATTTTACCAAATACGACCCATCCTAAAGGAGTGTTGGCAGCATATGGACCATTCTCTTCCAGAGGCACAATTTCATCGGGAAGCCCCAGATGGCAATGATCCAACCCAATAAGCACTTTAGGGACTACGTCGTCGTATAATTTAATGGGCAAACCAGGATGAGCACTTAAATCCATATTTAAACTTTGGGCCGGCAATTTTAAATTTGAAACTCCATAAACGTTTCTTAAGGCATATTTCCTCTGCCTACCAATTCCACTTACTTGCAAATGAACCACAGTCGCCATTTCTTGTGACGCCTTACCAGCATACCAGTGTAGATTTAATCTGCTTTGTTGCCCCAAGGAGCTGTCCACCATAGTAACCGAAGAACCTTCATCCAACAACGCATATGTTTCGACTTTGTTACTAGGACCATAAAGCACAATTGGCACCACTCGAAATAACAACAAACTTTTATCTGTAGCTTTGGACACACAACTAAGCACAGACTCATTTCCATTCGATGAACCACTTGGACCAGGAGTCTCAGATGAAACCGTATTATTAATTTTGACATCATGCAATAATTTGTTATGTTTTCTTAGGCAACCATCAACGGGACACGTCTTACGATAACGACAAAATCGGCTTGAATGTCCACTACCGAGACACGAAAAACATAACCTCAATTTCTTAACTTCACTCCAACGATTAGGCACACTCAATGAACCAAATTTTTTACACTCAAATATTTTATGATTTGCCTGGCACAGAGAGCATTCTTGTTTATGTTGACCATCAGCGGCATGGAGGACAACTTTTCTTTTTGGTTCATTATTTTGACGATTTCCACTAGAACTTTGCACCATTCTTACCAAATCAGCGACACCTTTGAGCCACCTACTAAAATCCAAAACTGTAGGATACGGCTTTATAGTTGAGGCGTAGCGGGCCCACTCCATCCGTTTACTCATAGGAATTTTCCCGACCAGCTCTTCCATCAGTGTAGGATTTGCTAAATGCTGTTGTCCATTGGCAGTTTCCAAAAAGGCGGCTAGATTCTGCACTTTAACAGCAAGAGGCACAAGTTTGTCGATAGCACTTTCACTAATGGGCGAAATTTCTTTAACTTGTTGCAGCTGACAACGGATGAGCATTTCGGGCCGACCATATTGAAAACACAATTGTTCCATAACCATACTCACATTATCTGGATGGATCAGCAACGACTTCACACATTCCCGTGCATCGCCCTTCAAAGCCTTTTGGAGCCTCAAACAATTTTCAAAATTATTATAATTATAAACGGCAGTAGACTGGTTAAAAGCTGTTGAAAACATGGGCCAATCTTCAGGGACGCCATTAAATTCCGGCAAGTCATAAATTTTTCTATGCACCAGCATCGAGCCACCATTTTGAGACAACGGCATATTTGGCGGCATCAAAAAATTATTTTCATTACAGCTTACGGAAGAAAATGGCGTCCGACGTTCAGCGCAGTCGACGTTGGCTGAGGCAGAATTGTCAACGTTGGCTTCACTGGTACCCGTTACTGGCGGCGCCATATTGGATGGCTGTGGCATGGCGGCTGAAGAGCTTGACGTCGAATTATTGTTCATGGCGATGGACAAAGCACGCTGGGCATTTAACAACTGGGCCTGGAGAACATTTATCTGGCTTTGGAGAACTTCTAAATTGTTGTTGTAGCTCGACTGGGGCAACGGCGGCTGAACAGCAGAGCTCAAAAAATTTTGTTGGTTAGGTTGAACACTGGCGGCAACTGTGGTGGCTACGGTACACGTCGTTCCGGCAACGATGGAACTTGCAGGCACCTCGGCAATAGAAGGAGCAACTTTAGATGGTTGGGTTGAATAGGCGACACTGGTACTTACGTTTGGTGGAGGCACTCCAGCGGCAGTGGGAGTCGATGATGTTCCAGCGGCAAGGGAACTGGCAGGCAGGGCAGAGACTTCAGCGGCAGAAGCAGTCATTTGTTGGGAACCAACTTTTGTTCCGGCAGACGAGGAACCACTAGTAGGCTGATTCATTGTTGACTGTAAGCGCTGGCTTTTTCTTGCAGGGGAGCGTTGCATGATGAACCACAAATACACGAAAGGTTTCTCAAAAAACCACAAAAAATTTCACACCAAAAATTTAAACGCAAATTGTTCACCAAAATTATTTTAAATAAATTTATTATTTGTCCCGGCAGACAGGAACCACTTGAGCTCTTTTCAAATTTATTTTATGTTCCGGCAGGCAAGGAAAAAAATAAATAACTTCACACAAAACTTCTTAATGTTCCAGCAGGCAAGGAACCACAAAATTATTCCAATTGAAATTTGTTCCGACGGACAAGGAACCACAAATTGACACAAAGGTACAAATAAAATTTGTTCCGGCAGGCAAGGAACCACTTAATTAAATTTCACAAAGGTTTATTAATGTTCCGGCAGGCTAGGAACCACAAAAAACAAGGAAGAATCCAATAACATTTGTTCCGACGGGCAAGGAACCACAAATTCACACAAAGTACAAATAAAATTTGTTCCGGCAGGCAAGGAACCGCTTACATAAAATTACACAAAAACGTATTAATGTTCCGGCGGGCAAGGAACCACAAAAAAAACATTTAAATCCAATAAAATTCGTTCCGGCAGGCAAGGAACCACAATCGCACCAAAGATTGCGAAATAAAATTTGTCGCTGGCTGCGACTTGAGCCTTATGTTGAGGACAGCGAGTTTAACAAACACCCAAAAAGAACCACAAATTTGTTTAAAATTATGATGCAAGGGTGTAAACGTTTATTTCTAATAAAAAATTTAAATTATTACAAAAATAATATTTATATAAATATGAACCACTTACCGCAGTCTTTGTCCCCAACAAACTAAACTTTAATATTAAAGCCAGTAAATACTGAGCCTACAAATTTCTTTCTGTTATGTATATTTACTAACTGTTACATTCCAAACAAACAAAAAACTTAACGAAAATACTGCAGTAGAATTTAGGGACAAAGTGCGTTTAGTTCGTAAACAAATAAGAACAAAAGGGAATAAAAAGAACAATATAAAAAATCCTAACGGTCATATGAACAAAATAATAACAACAATGATCATACAATTATAAACAACATTAAGGTGGCTCAATAAATATAAATCAAATTAAAGAAATAAAAGAAATTTAAAGGGACAAATAAAGAAATTAAATAAAACAAATAAATCAAATAAAGAACAAATAAATAATTTAAACAAAACAAACTAAATTAAAATAAAACAATAAATATTAGCTCCTGCATGAGCCATTGGGCGACAGTTTCGTAACTAATACTCTTTACTCACATGAGATTTCCATATTTCAAAACTTATATTTTATCTTTTTTCATTGCATTTAAATATAATTATCGCTACCTAATTCGATATACTTTGCCTGAATGAATCAAAATAGATCATAATTACATTTATATTTTGTTATATACCTCAAGAAATTAGTTTTAATTGGTTTCTGAACAAAAATTTTTTTTTTGCTTTTTATACAAGAAGCTCGTTTAAATCGGAGTTTTTCTACTCTATTTAATACAAAATTAAACTTTACTTTTGCTTTTAATATTGCTTGTCGTTTCTTGAAATCTGAAACTGTGACAAAGAAAACAAACCAGCACAAAATTTCGGAAAATACGGTATTGTAATTTGCCTTGTCTCTAAAATTTAAATAAATTTTGCAATTATTTGTTAAGTTCATTATTGAATTCCAAGAATTTTAAACTACTATAGAACAATAACATGTCATTTAGACGTAGCACAGAAAATTTGGCTATAACGCCTACTACTGTTGTACAAAATGATCAGCCACAAGCTCAAGCGCTACCACAGGCTCTACCACAAACGCAAGCAACACCACCACCTCTGAATTTTGATGTTTGTGGAATTTGCAAAAACAACATTTCAATTAAAGCAAATTCCACAAAAACCATTTGTAATCACATATTTCATAAAACATGCCTATCAAAATCAACCCAAAATAAATCTACTTGTCCTACTTGCAATACTCAAATAATTTTACCCAAATTTTCGAAGCCAAACACTTCATTTAAGTCCACTGTTATGACGAGGAACCAATCCCGTCAACAGAATATTGATGCGTTTAGATCAGCAAATAACTCTGCTTCAGAAAACCTACAAACGACCCATAATACAACACAGTCACCGGATTCTTCTCCAGATGCTCAAAGGCATATGATTAGAAATCTAGTTACAGCGGCAGTAGGAGCTCAACAAGCCGAAATGTTGTCGTCATTGAATGAACAACTAACTAGATTAGTACAGGATAATATAGAGGCAGGGTTTCGTCGTCTTAGCTTGGAAAATAATAACAATACTCCTGCTATGGAACCTCCTCAAAATCATATAGAACCCCCAGAAAATTTTCATTGTCAACCCCAAACTTTAGACCAACTGCTAGGACTTCCTCCTTCAACAAATAACAACAATGAAGGTGACGTTAGATTTCAAACAAACCCATCCTCAAACCTAATGAGATTGAACTCAGCTTTTTCTACCGATCTGGCTATTAGACCAGATAAAATTAGTCAGATTATAAGTAACTGGAGATTGAAATTTTCTGGAATTTCTTCAGGTCTTTCAGTTGATGCATTTTTGTACCGTATAGAGGCCCTTACCAATCAAACATTAGGTGGTAATTTTGATTTACTATGCTGTAATGCGTCAGTTCTATTTGATGGTAAAGCCAGTGATTGGTTCTGGCGTTACCACAAATCAGTTCGAGACATAAAATGGCCAGACCTGTGTTTGTCGCTTCGTAGACAATTTAAGGATACTCGGACTGACATGGACTATAGGGAACTCATAAGAGATAGGAAACAAAAGCCTGGTGAGAGCTTTGATTCCATTTTGGAATTGATAGATCACCTTGAGCAACCTATAGCCGAATCATCCATGATAGAAATACTACGACGAAACCTTCTCCCTGAGATCCAGCACGAAATCTTAAATTTGCAGATATTTTCAGTTGCACACCTTAGAGACATATGTAGGAAAAGAGAATTCTTTCTTCATGATGTTCGTAAAAGGAATTTGGGTCATCGACCCTTAGCTTTTCCAAAAAAGGTATCAGAACTATATGAGGAAGAATGTGAGGAACCGGATATTAAGGATATTGTAGACATTTCGGAATTGGGACTGAACTGCTGGAACTGTAGGAAAACTGGACATAGATATCAGGAGTGTATGTCAGAAAGGAACATTTTTTGTTATGGCTGCGGTGCAGCAAATGTTTATAAACCTACCTGTCAAAAATGTAACCCATCAAAAAAACTTCCCGCCGAGTGCACAAGCACGTGCACGCAAACAGACAGTTGTCAAGAAAACAGATCGAGGGACCAGCACGGACTAGAAGCTACACCTTTCAACATTATCTCAGACAATAACCATAATTCTAATCAAATAGAACGTAAGCTTAAAGCTCTTATTCCTTTCCACATACGTATGCGTAATTATAATCAAATTCGTGCAAAAATATTTAATTCTGAAATAAGTAAAAAGTCCAATAGATCGACTATGCGTATGAGAAATTTTTGGGAACAGATCAAACGGAAACGGAAAGATATAATAACCAGCATATTTGAGAAAGACAATGATTTAAGACCTTATGCAGAAGTGTGTCTTTTTGGGGAAAAACTAAGTGGTTTATTGGATACGGGAGCTGCGATTTCTTGTTTGGGCGGAAATTTAGCAAAAAAATATTTAGATTCTGGAAATTCTTATAAGAAGATAATTTCAAACGTTTGTACTGCTGACGGTAGTCCTCAAAATGTCGTCGGTTTAATTAAAACTAAAATTACTTTTAAATCTTCTGAAAAGCCAATTGATTTATACATTATACCTACACTTGCACAAGACCTGTACCAAGGTATTGATTTTTGGCGAAGTTTTAACCTTTTCCCACCAACTTTCTTCCAACATTTGCCTATTTCTTCTATTGATAATTCAGACTTATCGTTAAATGAATGTAAGCTTGATGAAAGCGAAAAACAACAACTAATCCAAGTTGTTAACTTATTCCCATCGTACACAAAAGAGGGCCTCGGTAAAACTACACTTGTGATGTAGGAATGGCAAAACCTATCAAACAACGCCATTACCCTGTATCCCCAGCAATAGAGAAGCTCATGTACGAAGAGGTCGATCGCATGCTTAGATTAGGAGTGATAGAAGAATCTAACAGCGCTTGGAGTTCGCCTTGTGTCTTGGTCAGGAAACCAGGTAAAAATCGCCTTTGTTTAGGTCGTAAGGTAAATGACATAACGGTAAAGGATGCTTATCCTTTACCAAATATCGATGGTATACTAAGCAGACTTCCGAAAGAAAGGTTTATTACTAGCTTGGATCTTAAAGATGCCTTCTGGCAAATCCCTTTAGATCCAAAATCTAGGGACAAAACAGCATTTACAGTGCCCGGACGGCCTTTATACCAGTATAAAGTAATGCCGTTCGGACTCTGTAATGCACCCCAAACTATGTCCCGATTGATGGATAAGGTAATACCTGCCAACTTAAGGAATGAAGTCTTTGTATACCTCGATGACTTACTAGTTATTTCTGACAATTTTAATAGACATTTAGACGTACTTAGGACGATAGCCAAACATCTACGAGACTCAGGACTAACTATTAATGTGGGAAAAAGTAAGTTTTGTATGGAAGAAGTAAAATACCTTGGACATGTTATTGGGAAAGGAATTATTCGCACTGATCCAGACAAGATATCTGCCATTCTAGATTACCCAATACCGCGGTCAGTGAAGGAAATCAGACGATTCCTTGGTATGACGGGGTGGTATAGGAAATTTATAGGAAACTATGCATCGTTAACAACACCTTTGACGGATTTGCTTAAATCTAAGAGAAAATTTATTTGGAATGACGAAGCTAACCAGTCTTTTGAAAAGCTAAAGTGTCTGCTAAGCTCAGCTCCTGTTTTGCATAGTCCGGATTTTGAAAAACCATTTTATATCCACTGTGACG